TTTCTGGCGTAAAAAGAAATAAATAAATAAATAAATTACCTTGCTAGAGAAGAGTCCTTTGCCGAGGCCGTAGGATTTTTCCGACATTTTTTCGGATTTTTTCTTATGCTCGAATCGCTCGTTGAAAGTTCGGGAATTTAGAGAGATAGAAAGTTTAGAGAGATAGCGTCTGAAAAAGGGTTAAGGGCAAAAGAGTAAATTGGGGGGGTGACTAGTAAAAGGGGGCGGTGAATAGCGATTGAGTTTTTTTTTTAGACTTTAAAACAAATTTGAGAGGCCTATAGAGTATAGACTTTAAAACAGATTTTTGAGAAGCTTGGATATTGTCTTAGGGCATTCACAACCCTTTAACACATTTCATCCACATTAATTTTCCACTAAATATCTCTTCATTTAAACACACATTTACATTTCTACACATTCATTTAAATACATACATGGGACCCATTATCTACTATTTCAATATAAATTTTATATTCTATTCTTAATAAAAATAAAATTTATTATTTTTAAATTATAATAATAAATTTTAAATGCATAAAAATAAAAGAACACTACAAAACCAAAATAACTTAAATTAAGATTACACAAGAAAATTTGAATTTATCTATATAGATAAAATTTGAATTTATATATATTGGGAAGTGTGATATAAAAAAAAATAAATTAAATATAAAAATATAATAAAAAAGATTGAATAAATTATCTAGATAAAATTTGAATTTATCAGCAGAGTGAACGGTCCAATGAGCCCGCCATTTTAAAGGATGAGTCGCAGCGCGGGGCGGGGGGACTTTAAACGCTGAGAAATAACCCGGTGTTGCGGATGCCCTTACACAGCTCGTCAAAACATGTAAATAAAAAATTATTTTCACAAAGAATCCAACGATATTTTCCAATTGTCGATTGGATCTTTAAATAGTAAAAAAAATGCCAGTGAAGTTTCCATATTTTGGAGTAGCGATTATTTCAACCGAAGATTTCTGACGACTAGGTTGTCCAAGTTTGATCGGCAAAATTTTATTTTGTTCCTCTTTTCATGGCAACAATACCCTTTAATCCATTTGATGTTTTGAGCTTATATGACTTCAATTTGAAATGACATTTTCTACATATTTTTGCATTTTTTTTTGCTTAATTGTATTTTATTTTTCCCGTGGGTACAAGAATTGATTAAGTGAAAGTTTTAAATAACAAAAGCAAAATAAGGTAAAGTTGGAGTACCATACAAAATCTTTTTCCATTAGGTTTAAGTAAGGGTAACGTAGTAATTCAATTAATGAGATTTTCATTAAATATTTATTTAAGAAAGTAAAAGAACACATGTCATAATTTTAACAGATGCATATTGTCAGGTATGTACGAGACCTATACGAGGGATACTTGACTGTAGAATGACCCTAGATAGATAGATAGATGTAGATAAATAGAATTTGAACCCAACAGAATTGAGATCGTTGTTTCCATTTCATGTGAATCATAAACATTAAAATCATTCCATAACTCAGGGTAATCAATGTGGGATTGATGCTGCAGTTGCCACTAGAAATGAGTAAATTTTGCAGGCGTCAAATCTCCAATATCTCATACTATGGTTCCTTACATATGGTGTTGCATAAATTTGAATCAATTATAATTTTACAAAAATACACGGTCATATATGGTATTTGAAATTTTTACTCCATATTTGTCCAAAAATATATCATCAGAAACCTGGGCTAAAGGCAACACGTGTTGTGACAACAACCTGTTGGAAATTATGATTCAAGAGATGAACACTCTGTTTTATTTAGCTCAGCACTCAACATGTGGTGGAGAAGCATATCAACCCTCTGATTCCTTGACTTAATGCTGCACAACACCACATCAATATAATAATTAATTCAGATCATTATTAAATAAATTTACAAAAATTAATAAATAAATTTACAAAAGTATGGCATCACATACCCAAGGTTACGCCTCCTCCGCCCCTCTCCTCCTTCCTGAATTGTATGATAAACCAGTATTCTTTAATAGCAATACTTATATGATTTAAAGAAATAAAAATCAAGCACCCATAATTTATGGCCTAATCTCTGTGTTGTATCTTCTATCACTTCATAAGTTGCACATTAGTCATTATACTTGCTCATTCATTCTACCAAAACACTTGTAAGTTTATATCATCCACAATTTCTCCAATAAATGAACAATACTAACCTTGACCTCCCCATTGCCAGACTCACAAGATTCGAGATCCATTTCAGCAAAGAAAGCTTCCAAGACAAAGGCCACCACCTGACACAATGAACGAAAAGGAAAAACAAAATAATCATATTATTGTCATGCAAGTATGAAAAGGAATGTATCATTCTCAGTCTCATCAGCAACGAGTTTCATTATTCTTTCAAGCAACTCAAACTTGACGAATCAAATAAATTTGCTCAATTATCATCCGAATTAAGCAAAGCCCAACACTGATATGCTCAAAGTAAGTCTATGCAGGTCTCTTATACTATAAAGTAAGATGCAATCACTTTACTTCTATCACATACCATGAAAACAAGAGAATTCTTCAAAATATATCATAGCAGAGGCCAAGATAAGTTAATGACTATAAAGTCTTCCATTTTATAGTTCAATGTGCATTACATTCATAAATTGGTAAACTAACACAGAAACATAAATATCGCACTCAAACTTCAGTTTATATAAGGAGCTCATAGGCTAATAAGAAGAAGTCTGCAGAATTGGCAGCAACTTACCAAATTCAACAGCAGCAGGACAGTAATTAGATAGAAACTGACGAAGTAGGCGTAAGTCCAAACAGTTCCAGTCAAGTCCTTGTAACTCTGGAAGTTTCAACCATTAGTCAATCACAAATCACTTTCAAAGTTAAACCAACCTAAACAAGAAATTACATGCCACATTACTGACTTTGTTTCGAGAAACAAAGTCGTGCAATTCTAATTGGTCAGAGAAAAAAGAGACATACAATACAAGATCATATTAGCATGGAGTTTCATACAGAAGTCCACTTGAAAACTATTTGAAGTGTTTGGTGGCTAATGTGCATTGGATAAATTTATTCAGTATGTAAGTCACTAAAAGTCTATCCTGAAGAAGTGAGAAAAATGATCACTTCACCCACCTCAACCACGGAGGAACAAGAAACAGAAGATAGTTTCATGGTCAGTGCTGAACCTGAATATGAGGCTAAGGCTAAACTTGGGTGTGAGATAATGTGGATAATCAACTTTTCATTGAAGCACATATTTAGGTTCAATGGCAACTACAATTCATATTTCATCTAATCTGTTGTTTTATGAGTGCACCGAGATTGATTAACATATTGCCCAGACAACTACAAGATATCTGCACAAAGGCTATTAAGGAAGTTCAAGTTGATTATCATTGTAATCAACTTTTCATTGAAGCACATATTTAGAGTTCAGTTTTTGTTTTTTGTTTGTTGTTTTTCTTTTTTTTCGTTATGCCATCTTGGCAATGACATCGTCATAGCATAGAAAACGCATGTAAAATAACGCATAATAAGAGGATTGTAAATATAAGTAGCATTTTGGGGTACAGTTATTGTCTTTCCCAGTATAGAGATTCTTATGTATAATAAGACTCAATTATTGAGTGAAATAAAAAAGGCTTTTCCCCTGTATTTACTAGTTTGCTAAGACAGGTAATATGATCATCTAAAGGAATGGATGGCAATGAAGTGTGAACCACAGTAATGGTACTGTTACAAATCATTGCATAGCCCCCCAAACCCCAATGAAGGGCAATGCTATGAGCTGATCGTATTTACATAATATAAATCACAAATGTCATATAAATTAGAGTAATGATGACAATTTTTTTCTGGAAATAAGCAATGTTTATCTTATCAAGCATGTGTTTATGGTACTAAGACAAATCATTTTAATGTACGGCAAATCATTTAGAGGTACGTACCGACATAATGAGGCAAATAATTTTAATGAATGTACCTGCATCCACGCTTGCCAATTTCCCATCACAAGCAAATTGAAAAGTGTCACCATCCCATTGGGGTAGTCATTGAAGTTAAACAGTAAGTAGCTAAATTAGTAAAGAAAATTTCAGGAAAAACAAAACTTCCAATATCATCATGGAGCAACAGAATCATGAGGCGATGTCTTAATTTTTCTGATTCAATTCTAAATTTTGACTTTCTAACATGCATAACTGCCAACGAGAATTAGAAAAATTTATTCATATTCTAAGAATGTGCATATCCAAAGGATACTCGTTATCTTCAAGATCAGTTCCGCTGAGACCTGGATTTCCAGCATTAACTATACCTCCAAATATCTACAACATTCATGAAATCAGGAAATTATTTTTAGTGTATAAAATCATAAAAAAAAAAAATGGCCTCTTAAGGTCCTATTCAGGCAGTTAATAATTCCTGTTACGAACTTACACTTGCAATTGCCAAGCACATAATTTACCACATTTTAAATAAATTCAGGAGTCAGAACATAGATTTTCATAGTCAAACTACAATGAAAAGCATTACTTGTTTCCCTTTGAAATCAGGAATAACTCCATTCTCCAGATATGTCAAGATAAAAGTGACAAAGCATATAGGTAAATGGGTCAAAATGGTAACAGCAAATGATACCTGTACACCGAGAGAGCAATAAATGCACAAGATACAAAATATGGTTCCCAGATATGGCATCAGGCTTGGTATTAGGGTAAAAAATGTCGCAACAAAAGCACGATACTGTTGAACATGCATCAAAAGCCTAATCAATCTTAACATTCTTGCTATTAGAAGATAGCGAATCCTGTAGAAAGAAAAAAGAAAAGCAAATCATTGCATTTAAATAATTTTGATATCAGCTTATGCATCTTAATAAGAGAGCTGAACCTCCAAATGCAAACTTGCTAAGGAAATCTTTCCTCCTCCCCAAGTATATGGATTTTTGGGAAGGATTTGTATTAAGGATTTTAATTGACACCATGTGACACGGTTTTCAAACTCATCACAATGACCCAAATAAGCTCAATGGATTTTTTAGTGTGGATTTGAAATCCTCATGTTACCCAAACAAAATCTATGACAAGATGTTTCAGAATATTTAGAATTTCACAAGAGAATTCTCATGTCCATTTCAGGGACAGAATCTTTCTTCCGTAGAGTAAACAAAAGAGGTGCCTATAAATCTTTCTTTCATCATTGACTGTTCCATCATGTATTAACAACTTCCTTTTTGAAGTGTCAGCCTGCCTAACTGAACATAAGCTGTGCTAGTTGGCAAAACAAATTTGCGTTCTCGCTTGAGAAGAAAAAATAAAGATTGTGGATATCAATTTCTATATTTTGAGTAATCCCAGAAGGAAAGGAACGAACATATTTGATGACAGATTGAGATTGCAACGTGAAATTTCATTGGTTTGACCCAGCAACTACATTGGCCACTCTCTTTCTACTTTCCAGTATATTAGAAAGGGGGAAAACTAAATGACATAGTACAATTAAACATTTAAGCCATACACATGACCATGTAACTTTAGATTAAATAATCTCACCATTCCCCATTGGAGAGAAAAGTCAGCCCACGGGGAGACACAAAAGTGGCTGTTTCTCCAATAACTGCACTAAAGTACGAATAAATTAAAGTAATTTAAGTAATGCAATAATTATTTAGATATAGAGATACTACAATTTAATCATTTATATTGATCTTATGATGTGTTTCTTTATGTATGTTAATGTTATAGTGACAATAAGGTTCCGGTGACAGTTCGCCATTTCGGAGAACTAAAAACTCGTGGTTGGGCAAATGTAACTAACTACTCCATCAGATATTATGATCAAGACTTAAAGTCATGGTAATTTTATTTTATATCTTTTCTTATTTATGTTCTGCACCCACTAAGGTAAACCATGTTCCCTCTTCTATACAATCATTATCAGATTGGACAAACGGTTCCCAAGGTAACCTATCAGCATAAAACTTCTTTGACACAGTCAATCTCACACTCAAGCAAACACCAGAGGCAAATCAATGTATTTATGAACCAGAACTTCGTTATCAATTAAATAACCCAAATTTTACTACTGTAGCATAGATTGGCAGCTCTAACATTCAGTCTTAAAACATACTTGCTTACCTGCTCCTACAAGGAACTTGTTAACTAGTTCCAGAAATATTAAAATGAATTTAAAAGTGGGATTAACTGAGACTCCAATTGAATACTACTATGAGGAAAGCCAAAAAAAGATAATTATGTAGTTTAGTACTCAGTTACGTAGTTTAGTCGGTGAACTTACCAATTACCCAAGTGACAACGAAGTCAAAGCGATTTTGACCATCCCTCCAATAATTCACAAACCCATAAGAATACACTTTTAGAGCCATTTCCAGGACATAGATCCATCCTGCAGGAAAAAAAAAAAATTAAAAAAAAAAGTTGCCTTTTTGGAGTGCAAATATGACAGGATTAAAAGATAGGAGATTTTGAGCACCCTGAGAAAATGGTAGACAAATTGGTTTTCAATTCGAACTGACAGAGAAATAGATCAGTTGAATGTCTCACTAATATTTGGAACTGGAGGTAACTTACTTTACAGGTCAACCTTGAATGAATATATTGATCCAGAATAAATTAGGACATTCTGTTGAAAAGGATGAAGGCTTTATTTGCCTTTACAAGGGAGCATGGTGATGATCACCTCNCAGACAATATGGATAGAGTTTAGGCATTAGAGAAGGTTTTGCAAGCTGAACTGATTCTCCCTGGGTGTTGGGAGAGGGAAAGGAATAAATTGTGTCAACCAACATATCATGATGAATTTTATCTTTTCAAGTTAATATGATATGAGACACTGGTATTCCAATTTGATAATTCGTAGGCACGTAACTAACACTTGACTTGTTAGATATACACAAAATTTGATGCTTTAAGAAATATATGGATCCGAAGGCATAAACTTAAAATAGACTAATCTTAAGAAGTTCAGACTGCAGGTTTACTAAATGGCAAGATTCCGATGTGTTAAAATCAGTCACTACGTAGTCAAAGTACGTCGACAACTATTAGAATTTATGATATGCAACAAAAGTCAAATTTCCACTTGCTCTATCCTCTTATATGGATGTCTAATTTGTTCTTTTCTTGATGTCTAATCAGTAACTTGAATGGTAGGTTGCACTTGTTCGGGGAAATAATTAAATGCACCCAGTTGCTTGGAGCAGATAACAAATTCGCCAAGCAACTTATGCAATTTTAGAAAATACACACTATATAACAAAAATCAAGCAAAATATGCCCAGAAATGCAAACTTAAGCAAAAAGCACTAGTATATCTTTTCTACTCTATATCTACAAATGGTCTTACCCTTTCTCTTGTATTCTCCGTTTTATTTTTTTATTTTTTTCTAATCTTTAAGGATATGAAGATAACAAAAACCAAAACAAAACAATTTTTCATTCACCAGTGATATTCTAACACCAATTACTAATGAAGGAACCCCAGATATGGACCCAGAAATCAGATCACCAAGCTGGGGTTTTGCAAATTATCTAACGACAAGCTTTTTATCAGACAAAAGAAAAAGGAGATTCGTTGTTGACAATAAGAAATATTAAATAATTTGGGTGCTCTTACCAAATACAAACTCCACTTCTTGCCAGGTTTCTTGAGCAGAACTGTTTTCTATATCAAGCTGCGACAGTAAACATAAAATATCACTACACAAAAAATGATCTCATGTGGGGTGATGAAAATAGTTTGAAATTTTCCAGAACAAGAAACTCTTCCCCATTTTTTTCTAGGAATGTTGGGTGGTTGAGCAATAGATTCTCAAACATATCAATGTCCAATACATTAAAGAAGGAAAACTCTTTCTTTT